GAATATGCGAAGAATGACATGATAGACGACATTGCAAGAAGAAACATCAAAGAATGCGAGAAGAGTGCCATTTTAGCTGTTCGGATTTGAAAATGGGAAATATTGAGAAGTGGAAGGATGAATATGAAGGGAGGGGAGGTGTGGTTTATATAGGTTCTGCACTTTTGTACATGGCAGGTCTTGCTTTCAAGTCAAGTTTTTGGATTGTTTATTTTCAGAACACTGAGACTTTAAGATTGGTTCTTTCTGATTGCTTTGAATCTAAGCACATCACATGATCATGCGTGACATGATAATATACTAAACAACATAATTTCTTTTGGTTCATAAATTAAATTACAAAAAGTTAAATGGACTGACATTCTCTTGAATTCGAAATAAAGCAATGATATATATATATATATATATATATATATATATATATATATATATATATATATATTTTAAGAGGTGAAGAACGTTGCTTGACGGTCACCTGTAATATTTCGTGTAAATGTAACTTGCTAAATAGGCGTTAGCTAAAGAGAAATTTTATGTTACTCCAAAAGGAATTAACAGTATTTACTCTATAAAAAAGTGATAAATACAAAGAGAAAATAGAGAATTAAAAAAAAATTAGCATAAATATAAATTATTTTATCATTTTTTATGGATATCTATGTGATTTTTTTCTTTTTTTATATCTATTTTTGTCCTCAAAATAGACATATGAAGTATTGTTAGTTATTCTATGAGTATTTTTAAAATTTCTCGTTAGCTTAACACTTATGGGTAACATGTTTAAGAATCGATCTCATTAATCATTTATATAAGATAAGAAAAAATTACGAAAAGAGTTAGAATAAAATGATTGATAACTCAATATATTTTTATATTGCAAGGTAATTCTCTAACATGTAATTATAGTTTTAATTGAGTTAATTTTATTTTTGAATATATATTAAAATTTTAATTTTTTTTATCAATATTTTTGAAATTATTTATATAATTTGTGCATAAATTTTTAAAATTATTCACATAATTTGTATATAACTAATTTTATTTTCAAAAAATCACTACAAGTTGATTAAATAAAAAATTTTCATGTCTAAGTTGTAAAATTAATTATGGTAGTTTAACTTTAAATTTTTTCATAAAAATAAATTAGAAATTTGATATATATTTAAAGATAAAACAAATTTAAATTGAGGATAAAAAAACAGAGTGAAGTATTTTTCTATTATATGAGTCCAGATTTAACCATTAACTCTCGAAAAAAAGAAATGTGTAGGCCTCTTGTCCAAGATGAGGTCAAGTAGTAGCTGGCAGTCCACAAATCAAAACCATGTCGTTGGGCTTAAGTATGAAATGGGCTGAGTCCATACATAGTCCAGCAAGGTTTTGATGTTAGGCCAGCAAAAAGTAACGTAATGACGAGGGAAAAAAATAGCTCGAATAAGTACAAGGAGATCAGGGAGTAAATTATAAATTATCCCCTATTGTTTCAAGAAAAAAATTAATTAGTCCTTTTAATTTAAAAAATTAATTATTTAATTTTTTTAATCAATTAAACACGACTAATTTAATTTTTTTTATATAAAACGTCTTATTTTTTCATCAATTTTACTTATTTTTTTATTTATGTAATATTTCTTGAAATAAATAAAAATAATAGTTAATAATTAATTTTTGAAGCAAAAATATTAGTTCGTTTCTCAAAACAAGTGGGATTAATTTATAATATATTTGGATATAAGATGGAAGACCCAAACAAGGACAAGTAAGAAATCACTCTGCCGGAAAGGCTAAGAGATAAAAATGTATTTAGTATCTTAATTTATTCAACTTTCACAATTCGATATCTCGTCTTTGATTTTTATCGATAGATTTTCTGGTTTATTTATAATTTTTTTATTCTGTCTGTTAGTAGTGTTTTGCTGATAAAATATTGTTAGAACATAATCCAACTATCAAATTCATAATTATGTCAAACTTATACACATGCTATTGTTGAAGTCTTAAAGTTTCATGTTCTTCCGTGTCTTTCTTACGAAACCCATGATATGAAAGCCTTGGCTTCTTAGGACGTGGTGGTTTTGGATCAACTAATTGTTGGTAAAATATTAATCGACAAAAATTAAAGATGAGAAATTGATTATGAGTAAATTGCATAATCTCTCTTCGATATAATAGAAGGTGATTCCATTATGATTTTAGGAGGTTGTCCAACTCATTTGCGATCCCTTGGCGTCTAATCTATATTTTCGGAGACTGCTAGGCAAACATTTCTCTTTTTACTAGAATACAGCACATTAACAAAAAAAGAAATATGGTAGGCGACGGGTTTGCAAACCGAGCTTTTCTTCATCACCCAAGCGGGGTCACGTTTGCAACGCATGAATTACCTATGTCTTGTTGCAGAGCAATTTCAAACGATAGAAATGGTTTGTTCAATTATTGACCGGGTATCGATTAGTTTACCCGACTTCTATTAAGGCTAGAAATTAGAGACTTTAGAGATTATATGTTATGATTAGGTGCTTCTTGTTCGGTTTTTCAAAATTTTTCTGTAAATCATGTTTTGTATTTGGGGGTTAGGTTTCTTTGTCCTCCCGAGTCTGTTGGGCTAGGCTAGAGTTGTCCCCCCTTGTTCATTTTCCACTTTGATATCAATATATTTTCAAGTTATTGCCCCTATTTCCTATATATATTTCAGATCTAAACTAAATGATCCAAAATTATTGAACATTTTTCAATCAAACTAACAAAAATTAAACAAAAAAAAAGTTGGCTAGAGGAACAGATGTGACTTAAATTATCACATGCAATAACAATAAAAAATTGGCCAGAATAACCTATTATTTACCCAAAAATAAATCATGGTTATCGATTTAATTTTTTTAAAAGTTATGGATATATCTCAATCTGACTCAAAATTCATGATGCTTTAAAATCATTTAGCCCTAAGATTTAATTGTAAAAAAAAATTGAAGATAAGATACCAAATTGTGAAAATCAAATAAGTTCAGTCCCCAAATATTTTGTTACCTAAGGATTTACGGTGGCGAGTTAAAAGGTGAAAAAGTTATCTTGTTTCTAGTTGGCCTGCCAGCTTGCTGTTAACATCCAAAGCCTGCAGCAGTTTAGATGCATTATGAAACCCATATTGATTTCTTGACAGTCTTTTTCTCTAATTGCATGTCCTCTCGATACCTTTTCGCAATACTCCCAGTGAGCTGTTGTTTTCGTTATGCCCTCCACAAAATAACAAATTTGAGTTATTTCAAATCGAATTTTGTCATTCAAAATCTCATCGATCACTGGGCAAGACATGATCACAATCACAATAAAATATTGTCAATATTTTTTAAGAATTCCTTTCTCATCTACTGCAAGTTAAATGATTTTTTTTAATGGAGCGATGATGTGATGTCTTAAAATATAATTTATATTACTTTTTAATATCTATTTTTTAAATGAAAACATTAATATTTGAATTTAAAATTTATACATATTTATGTTATTTTGTACTTAATATTTAAGAAATTAAAGATAATAAGACTTGAACTCAAGACTAATTGATTAATTAAATTTTAATATTTTATAGATAAGACTTCAGAATATAATTTATATTATTCTTTAATCTTATTTTTTATAGTATAATTCAAAGCGAGCAGACTTTTCGATTAAAAACAAAATGGATATAGCTTGCAGAACCATTTAAAATTCATGCAGCAATGGATAAATCTGAAGTTTTCATTAATGCTGGATGATTTTATTTTGGGGCTGGGCTTACGTTAAGTCATTAATGAGATTTAGCTAAGCTCTTATTACCATATCCTCACTCTTTAGAGAAATCTCAGATTGGAATGTCTGCTTTATAACAAAAAGAAGAAACTCATTATTTATGTGGGCCAATTTGAACCTCCCCTGTCCCTGTACGAAACATATAAGAGCCCAAAAGGCTGATTTTCAGCTGATTGACATTTGATGGAATTAATGCAGAAAAAAGGGTCACACTTGACATTTACAACGTGTTTGGGAGAATGGAAAGTTAGAGGAAGGAATTTTAGGGAAATGATTGATGAAAGAGGAAAGTTAAGAATGGCAAGAAGGTTTAATTAGTAAAAATAGCTTTAATGGTTTAATTAAATGATTTCGAGTTTAAGTTTTAATGTATGTAAAAAACTTTTTTAAATAGTTGTTTTCGTCTCATGTATCTGATCAAATAACGAAGGATTAATTTAAATTTTTAAATTTAGAATACCTTAAAATAATAAAAAAAAGTTAATTAATAGTTTTTACTGTTTCGGAAATAAGAAAGAAAATGGAGGAGAGGATGGAGATTTTCTTACATGGGCTCCCCAAAAAACCACTCCATTTCTCGGGAGAAAGCGAAAGAAATTGAGTAAAATTAATAGCCTTACAAACGTTTCCTTAATTAGCAAAAAAATGAAGGACTGAAAATGCAATGCGGCGAAATTTTCTTTATAATTCCATTTCTTCCCTCCAAAATAATTAAAATCAATAAAAAAATAAACATGATTTATTACTTAAAAAATAATAAATTTAATCTCTGTTGATATAAAAATTAATTTATAGATATCTCATTAGTTATAAATAAAAAAACAAAGAAAAAAATTTAAAACGTTGATGCAATTTAAAAGGTAATAGATTTAATTTTGATTAATAGAAAGATTGAATTAAAATATATATATATATATATATATATATATATATATATATATATATATATATATATATATATATATATATATGAGAGTTTCATTTTCTTTCCCTTCATTTGCGATCCTTTTTACTTTTATTTCCCTCTCATTTGGTTTCCGAACAGTGTTCGTTTTGAAGTTCATGGCCGCTTGCAAGATTAGTGCTTCAGAGTTCTGACACATCAAACATGCGTACAACGCCAACCAAATACGGGAAGAAAGGAATATAAAAACAAAAAGATAGCCCTGTTCCTGCACAAAACGATAAGCAAACTATGGTGGTCCAGATATACAATGGCTACAGGCTACAGCCATGGCCTAGCTACAAGAAAGGCCCACAATGTGTCTGCAGGAACAAGTCACCTTCATCAACAATTCTCCCCTCATCCGTTTCAAATTTAGCAAAGAAAAGACTAATCGATTATAAAATATTTGAACCGTTGGTCGATGAAGAAAAAAATCTTAATCTTTTTTTTTCTTTTTGATTTGATTCTCGGTTTTTTTTTGTTAGTGATTAAATGTTTTTATTTTGTTGATTAGTTAATATATAAAACTATTAAAACAATAACACGTATCTTAAAAGCTCTAAACACAATACATATATAGATATTTTTTTACTCTATTTGTCTCTCGTATACATCTAATATAGTTTGAGATATACTAATAGAATAGAGAGATTTAATTGCAAAAAAAAAAAATTATAAACTTTTTTACAATGGAACAAAAATTATGAGTACTTTATAATACTCAACGAGTAACTATAAACTTTTTTACAATAGAACAAAAAATTATAAGTACTTTATAATACTCAATGAGTAATTATAAACAATAACGTGTATATTAAAAACTCTAAACACAATACATATGTAGCTATTTTATTACTCTATTTGTCTCTCTTATGCATCTAATGTAGTTTGAGATATATCAACTTAATATAAAGATTTAATTGTAAATAAAAAAAATTATAAACTTTTTTACATTGGAACAAAAATTATGGATACTTTATAATACTCAATGAGTAACTAGTACGCATATATATTAGTTATTCTATAAATCGCTTTTGAAGAAATAGATAGATATATATAAAAAAATAATAATAATCATATCCGGATTCATCAAAAGTTATAAGAAGATTTTCACGTTAATTTAATTTTTTTATTTTTCTTTTCTGTTTATATATATATTTTTTATGGAGTAACTTATTGAATATTATAAAATTTATCCTTTATAACCTGTTAGCATAAAGAAATAGTGATTTCTTAATCTTCTATCCTCTCAAAATCACACGTACAACTTTGCAAATCTAGCTGGTGTGTTTCGGGCTTCTCCTCTGTTCGCGGGGTTTATTATTTGTGCTGCATTGAATGGCTGAATCCTAGCAAGAAGAAGGTAGGAAAAGGATTTTGGATGCTGAAGTGAACAATAGTAGATACTGACTTTGCTTGCTTTAGATGTCCTTTTTTTTTTGCAGGGTTCCTTTTAGTATTTGTAGTAGAAGCATTAGGTCCTTTCCTAACCACTCTATTTATTAGCCTCTCATTAATGTCACTACCAACAACGGTTTCTATCAACTACATTGGTCTGCTTTTTTAAAACGATTTGTGTTTTTTCTGATTAAAACAACTTAGATTGTGTTTAGTGATGTGTTCGTATTACACTTTAAATTGCTCTTTGAAGTGCGTTTAAATTGAAAAAGGCATCGAATTAATGCTTTTTTAGGTGTTTTTGAACGTTTTGATACATCCAAAATTGGTGTCAATATATATATATATATATATATATATATATATATATAAAACCTTGAAAAACGTTTCAAAATACTGAAAAAATACCCATTTCCCAGCATCTTAATTAACTGTTAGTGCTAGTATTAGGAAGGTACATGATGGAATGCCTTGACCATCTCTCTCTCTCTCAAGAATGACGTGAATAATTTCATGGAAGCCGAAAGGCCCAAGTGGTGGTCTAGGGGAGTGGTTACTACTTACTACCTTATGTGATAATGCCAGAGTGGACCTCCAGGGGGTAATCAGACATAGGCTCTAGTTGCTACGAAGGTTGAAAGGGAGTAAATTATAAATTAGTCCTTCTTCTTTTGAAAAATAAATTAATTAGTTTATCTTTTTTAAAAATCTAATCATTTAATTTTTTATATTTTGATTTTATCAATAATTTTTCAAAAATATAGTTCATTTAATATTTTATTTTTCTTATTACTCTCGTTCTCTCTCCTTAAAAATATATATGATAATTTGGAAAAAAAAATCATTAATCAACTAAAAAACTGATTAAGGAATTATGTTATAAATATAATTAAAACAAGAAAAATTAAATAATTAATTTTTTTAAAAAAGACTAATTAATTCGTCTTTCTAAATAAGAAAGACTACTAATTTATCATTTTCTCGGTGAAAAAGAAAGGGAAAAAAACAGTAAAAAGGATTGCATTTATAGATAGATAGATAGACAGACAGACAAAGAAGATAGGTGATAGTAGTAGGACTCGTCTAGGCTTGTGTAACCAGTGAGGAAAATTATGCAGTGGTAGTATTTAGGATTAGATTCTGGGCGGTACGTGGCTGACTGCTATCTTTTACTTGGGTGAGTTACTAAGATCTAAGATAGTTATATATAGCTGCCTGCAACAGCAGCCTAGGAAACCTGTTCTTTTACCTGATCCTGCTACACGTGCAACGCCGACACGTTTTAGGAGGAGACGCTCTCCATAAATGCTCCCAATTCCCAATCACATTCATTTGGAGATTCCAATCACCCTTTAAACTAGCATATAAACCTTACTAGGACTGCTAATTTTTAACTTACCAAGTTAATTTAGCTTAAAAAAACAATTCAGTAATCGATAATTATTTTTAAATGATACATATATATGTGTGTGATTTTATATATATCGAGATCCCGTATCATTCGAATTTTTTTAATTAAAACCTTAAGATATTTTTATCTAATTTAAAAATTTTATTTTCTTTCAAACCTTAATGCGTTAGGTAAGCATATGTAAAAATCTTTAATCAGTAACTAGATTTATTTATACTGTATGATAATATAAAAAATCTAGCTAGCTACAGCAAGAAAAAAAAATCAAGATATGCCATGCATTGTTATAATTAATTTAATTGTTGAGCGAGTTTATATAAGCAGACAAATGCTAAACATTAAAAAAAAATAACTTCAAAAATACAGAATATCAATATCTATGATCATTTAAACCATTAAATTTGCTATTTTATTTAGATCTGCTTTAATTTTTTTCAATATGATTCTACTACTGCATCTTTACATCGGTCTTCTTTAACCCAGCTAGTAACCGAAAGCACAAAAAAAAAAAAAAAAAAAAAAAAAAAAAAGACAAAATATGTCATGTACTATTACGATTGATTTGATTGTTAGGGGAATTGATATAAACAAAGAAACGTTAAACATTAAAAAAAAAAAAAAACGTTAAAAAATATGTACAGACGTTAGACTAGTTGAATATATTTTTTTATATATCTGATTCTGCATTAAGATTATTAATTATTCATAATTTTCTTGAAATTTCCTTCTTCTTCTTTTTTTTAATATATTAATTATGAAAGGAAAAGCATAGCATCGGATCCCCAAACGCAGAAGGGGAGAAAGAAAGAAGAAAAGGAATCTATAACAACTTTCCTTTTTCTTCAAAAAATTGAAAGCTCTACCTTTTAACCGTGTAGAAGCAGTGGCCTGGAAAGAAGTGAAGATGAATTTCAGTAGCAGCACGAAATGTTAGTTTACTGGCTAGCTAGCTAGCGTAAGATGATGAGCAGTATTATCTTAGCTTTGATAATAAATTAAGAATTGGGTGAGGATGATCTCACTATTTCAGGATGGTAGCCTCGTGTTTCTCTGTCTGAAAAATCTGACTCCTAGCTCTAGCTATGTGTAAAACATGCTCACACACGCACGCATAATAAAATCTTTGCAACCACCTTAAAATTTGGGGTTCAGTGCTTCAAAATCGTAAAAATCAAGTCCTTTTATCAAGAAGATTGTTGATTGAGTCCCTCTATGCTAACAATTTACCTAATATCGTCCCTCTTTCGGTAACGCCGTTAACAGAAAACAGTGATTTTTCTAGAAATTGTAGTTTTGATATATTAATTTATAAATCTCAAATTAAGTAAAATCACATTACTATTAAATTTATAAATTAAAACCCATTTTGCTTAGTTAGGCGAGGATTTAATAAAATAAAAAAAAATAAAGTTATATTCACAGTCAAACGACTTCATCAATTTTAATCAATTTAGATTTCAATTAATTTGTTTTAGTTGAAAATAAAGTTATGCAAATTTATAAATACCACATAAGCTAGATGTAATTTTCTAGCAAAGCAAAATTTTATTTAATTTTGTACTTTTTTTCTTATATAATTTGTCTTGTAGGTTTTGACTTAATAGTAAATAGGAAAAGTCCTTTTAGCTTATTTTTTCAATTAAAATTAGACAAGGCTTTTCCACTGGGGATAACAGACATATGTTGGTACAATCAACACGTTCCATGTTCCTCGTTAATGGCTATCAACAAGGAAGACTGATGCTAAATCACATATTGACATGAAAGGAATTTAGTCAACCCTTTCCCTATTCGAAGTATTTGATTGAACATTGTTTAGTAATTTAGGGACCAAAAGGGTCCTGAAGACTTGAACCTCTTAAAACATACCACCATCCATCCATCCACACATGAAAAACATAAAGTAATCTCTGGTTACTCTTGTCATTTTCCTTTTAGAAATCTTTCAAAATTTTTGCCTGAATGGGAAGCTTTCCAGGTGCGGTTCTGAAGGCCCCCACTTAGCTTTTATGAGCCCAAATCTATCTCCATTCTTTCCCATTCTCAATCTCTCTCTGTCTCTCCCTCACACATTTTCCCATCCTTCTTCGGTTTCAGTACTGCTTTAAATATTGAAATCCCTATAAATTGCATGCAACAACGAATCATTTCTCTTCATTCACTGCCAAATCCCAATTAACGACCTTCATTCCCATTTTTACAGCCTATCCTCCATCTATCTCTGTCTGTGAAGATGTTGGCAGTGGAAGAGCTTCTGTGTGAACTAACTGGTGAAGAGATAAACGAACAAGGGTTGCCTCCAGGGTTTAGATTCCACCCAACAGATGAAGAGCTTATAACCTTTTATTTGGCTTCAAAGGTTTTTAATGGGAGTTTTTGCGGTGTAGAAATTGCTGAGGTTGACCTTAACAGATGTGAACCCTGGGAGCTTCCAGGTATATCCACACACATATATATTTATGCCTAGCCTATTCATTTTTAGCTTCATGTCAAGATGCATGGCACCAAGAGAAATGAATGATCAGAATATTCCCTTTAGCTTTAGGTTGCTGCTATAACTTAGTTGCTTCATATATCTATATGGTGGTAGTTTTCAAGAAAAGTCTCTCTAATTCTTTGCTTTTCTACTTGAAGATGCTTTCTCTCTCCCTTTTCAGGTAAAGCTAGCTAGCTATAACTAGATCAGTTTAAGTTGGATCACACTAAGTACTGTTAAGAATTGGACGTGCACACACATTTTATTGATTTCTCCTTGCGTTTTCTTTTTGCGATATATAGTTTACTAATAATTAAGTCATTCTCCACAAGATACATTTTTCTCTTTACTTTAGCACTGAGCTGATCAGGCCCATAATTTTCTGACGAAATCCCGATTTCATTAATGCTGTAGTGGTGTTGCTTTTCTTGTTGTTTAATTAGATGTGGCGAAGATGGGAGAAAGAGAATGGTACTTTTTCAGCTTGAGAGACAGGAAGTACCCAACAGGGCTGAGAACGAATCGGGCTACCGGAGCTGGCTACTGGAAGGCTACAGGCAAAGATAGAGAGGTATACAGTGCTTCAACTGGTGCTTTGCTTGGCATGAAAAAAACCCTTGTTTTCTACAAAGGCAGAGCTCCTAGAGGTGAAAAAACCAAGTGGGTCATGCACGAGTACCGCCTAGACGGTGACTTCTCCTACCGCCACACGTGTAAGGTAATGTAGACCGACCTTTTTCCCTCCACACGTGTGCTGTGGGAATCGAGTTGATTAGCATGCTTGCCGCTGTATAATATTTTGTTTGATTCTGAGTTGACTTGTTGTTCATCTGAACTGGGATTGCTGTCGTCCACGGCAATTAGACAATTTTCACTTTGGAGGGTAGTTTTTGATGTGATTGGCTTGATTTAACAAAGCTCTGTTCCTTGTCAATTAATGGCCAGACTCCATTTATTATTCTCTGTTTACTTCAAAATGTTCATGTTTCTGGGAAATGGTTAACGTTTGCAGGAGGAATGGGTGATTTGCCGGATAATTCACAAAAAAGGAGAGAAAAGAAGTGCGTTTCTCCAAGCTGGGCAAGGCTACCAAATCTTGGAAGCCACGTCACCAGGAAATTCAGGCTCATTGCCTCCATTGCTTGATGCATCAGCATCACTATTTGATCAATGTCAATCCAAGAACACAGTAGTTGAGGCCCTTCAAAACGCTTTTCTGATTCCTGAACACCAAGAGAATGACCTCAAAAGCCTACTAAACCCTCTTGTTTCCCAATCCCATGGCCTGTCAATAAATGGTTTCCAACCCTCCTTTTCACCCACTCCCTTCTCCATCACCAGCACAACCTCATCAACCAATAAAAACGCAGACACAAACACCAACAACAACATGATGCTCTTCAAGTCCATCCTCTCATATCAAGATTGCCCTTTGAAGGAACAACCCAGTACTCTTTCTAAACAGTGGAAGACAGATGCAAACTTTTCCCATTTTCAGCAACTTGATTTTAACTTGGGTTGTGTGGACAAGATCATTAACCCAAATCTATACCAAAATAATCCCTTGTTCTTTGAGATGGATTGTAGTACTAACGTTTTGGGGTTCTCAGAATCTGCTTCTGCTGCAGATACCGTAGCCCATGACATGTCAACTTCAATTGCCTTTAGCAGAGCCGGCTTGCAGATGATGTTAGATACTCCCATCAGACTGCCTGCAGAATCTTGGCCGTTGGATCCTTAACGATTTAATTTCAAGTCCCCAAGAACATTAATTATTGCTGTAATAGATGATAGTACAATATTATAAACTGTTACGTACGATATCTATACCATGCTTTAGTATGTTTTAATGTAGTTTAGCTCCTCTAAAATGTAGGCTCGCCATTGCAATTGGCAACTCCATCCATGCATGTATCTATGTAAAACTCGAGGCTAATTGATTATAAAATAATCCGAGTTTTTTTTTCCAAGACATCAATATTCTTTTATTCTAATATGGATTGTAAATTTTTTCATTTCATTAATCATTTTAGATAACACTGAATGCACGTGTTTTTTCCACCTGAAATGAGTGTTTACATAGCTTAGATAACTAATCAATTTTTATTATAATTTTTTTTTGTAATTAAGTTATATTTTGTTAATCAATATTAGATGACATTGAGTATCAGTAGAATTTTGCGGTACTTTCGAATTTCTCTATCTAAATTCTAATAAGATCTTAGCTCGAGTTTGCTGACTTCTTTTATAGTATGCAACTATTCAAAATAAAAACTTCCAATCCAGTTTACAAATTATGTATAGAAAATAAATTACAACGATAAAGTATATAGAAAAAATAAAATAAATAAACATTTTGAAAAACAAATGACTTGGTAAAATAAATGACAAAAATAAACATAGACGAGGAATTAAATAAGACTAAACTTATGGCCTAACAATTTGTCCCAAGTGAAATCATCATTGTGTCACTACCAAAAGCTTGCGAACTCTCAAATTTTTTTTTATGCTTATTTATTTATGTTGAAAATCTTATTTATTTGTAAGTATAAGTTATTATTAATTTCAGAGATACTATTTAGAATTTTCCCATACTTTATATTAGTTTCTTTTGTGACTAAATATGTATCATAAACATATCTTTATTTACATGGCTTACCGTTTTGAGAATATGCCTTGAAAAACACCAATCCTTATCTTAATACTTTAAATGCTTCTTGTATCTGTTCAACATTAATTAAAAGTACACAATGACATGAGAAGAAAACTTGATTGGGAATGAAAAAAATCAGAATTCAAATCAAATGATAAAAAAGTTGGAATTTTATTGTTTCCATGATTAAAATTTCGGAAATTTTATAACCTATCAACCCGATAACAATTATTGTACAAGGATTGCTTGGTTTGCGAGATTTTTTGGCTGCCTTTTGGGGGTTTGAAGATTCTCAAACCTTTTAGAGACAAGCTCAGCGACAGTTTCTTTTTGACATGACCCCATGGATGGGATTGGAGGTTGTCGATGCGTAGGCCGTAGAGTACCATTTATTAGAAAAATTTATGATTGCGATTGGATTGGGTCCTCCATCCTGCCAAGCCATTCCCAAAAGCACCTAGCTTGGTCCTTGCAACCTAAAAAGCTCTGTTTAAAGGCATAAAGTCCATGACAAATGGCATAAAGCGTTGTATGGTTAACCATTAGCAACGTCTGCGTGAAAGAGTAGGCAAGAATAAGTGTGAAAAATATTTAGTAAGGTTACTGTTGCTGTAAAAATTGAAAAACAAAAGGATATGATGACAAAATTAGCAGGATAGGGTGTAGCGCAGGTTCGGCAAAGCGATTATATCATCGATAGGAACTATTCAGACAACATTGATACTCTTGTTTTATTTTAGAGCATTTGTGATTTTTGCAATAAAAAGTAATGGAAAAATTGTTTGATAATATTTCAAAAATTGTTTAAAAGTAAAAATTTGAAAATTACATAATGAGATTTATGGGTTGTTGTTGGTTTTAGCACATTTTAGAACTTTTAAGGGATGTAGTCTAACAATAAAAAAATTGTTTTGTTTTGATAAAACAATCTATCAAACTAATTGTTGTTGGTTTTAGCACATTTGTGAATTTTGAAAGGATGTAATCTAACAATAAAAAGATTTTTTTATTTTGATAGAACTTAAAATATATTTTTGATTATTTATAGAAAATTAATCATAATTATTTATTAATGGTATAAAATTTGGATTGGTTTGGTCTAAAAAACAGCTTAATGATCGATCATAAAATCAACATGTTTGATTGTTTAATTTAGTTTAAAAATAATAAATTTAATCTCAATTAATGTAAAAAATTATCCAAAAATACAACCCTAGATATTTATATTAAAAAAAAAGACAAAATCGCTGGGCCATAATAAAATCCGATGGTCTCTTTCCTTTCAATCCCCCCCCCCGGGGGAAAATCTCTCTCCACTTTCTGGGCCGTAAAGCCCAAACTTCCATCTGGCCCATCTCTATTGATCTATTGACTCAAAACTTGCGCGAACCAGTACGGTGAGAAGCCCCCTGTATATGTATGAGAAATCAATTTTTCTCGAGTTTCTTTTTTTCCCCAATATCTCTCATCTGAGAAAATTTTACAGTCAATTATAAATTATTCTATCTATTTTCGAGAAAAAAATTAATCAATCATTTGTATTTGAAAAATTAATTATTTTGTCTCGTGACAAGGATTGATAATTATTAATTTAGTGTTATTTTATTTCATAAAATATTATATTTTTTTCATCAATTTTTCTATATATTTTGCTTAATAAATATATTTAAAAAAATCAAAATATAAAAATTAAATATTTATTTTTTGAAATAAAAAAATTAATTATTTTTTTTTTCAAAAGTAAAGAGAATAATTTATAATTTATTCAAAAATTATAGGCTGAGTCAAGTCAACTAACAGCGACCAATATTCATCTCTCAATCCTACTTGAGTTGAAGTCGAATTCTCTTTGTGTTGGCAGCTAAAGGTCAACTCCCTCCCTCATGCGATGCCAAAAAAAAGTATAAACTTAAACATGCTTTCCCTCGTAAAATTTAAAGTAGTCCCTTTAGTTTTGAAAAACAAATTAATTAATTATTTTTGTTTTACAAACTAATTATTTAATTCTTTTTTTCATTTTATTTTTTTATAAAAATATTAAAATAAATAGATATTATAAAAATATTATAATTAAAAATAAAATAATAACAACTTAAGAGTGTTAATTGCATATCAAAAAACTAAATAATTAATCTTTCAAACAAGGGAGATTATTTAATTCGTTTCTCAAAACTAGAGGGACTAATTTATAACTTAATCATGCTTGGCCACGTTTGCCATGCAAAACGCAACTAAATTGAAAATATAAGACCAGCCAAAATAGCGGTACAAACCCTAAACTTAATAGAACTATAACAGCTACTCAATTGGAAATCTGCAAACCCCAATTATTGTTGGAGATCGAAGGACTTACCCCTTGCACCCGTACTTAGCAGTTTTAACTGGAAATCCAAGGTAAGATTAGGACGGCCTGTTGTAAGAAATCCAAAGTAGATCAGGGCAGCCTGTTCGAAGGTAGAGATCGATCTCAGGCTAGTGTTGGATAAACATGAACAAAAACGGATCAAGACGCAAGAGTCATTCTCAAACCATAAATCAGAAGCCCCGAAAAAAAAAAGCTAGGTTTGATTAGAGATGGATCCAAGATGCAGCTGCAATCATGGCAGAAATACCAGCCACAATATCCAGCAAAAGCTGAGCAAAATCCTGTGGCTATCTTTGATGAACAAAAACAGCAGCAGCAGGCATCACACCAATTACTAGCTAATCATCCCATGTTGGCAGCACAATATTTCGTACTACATGTGTATGGCCAAGAACAACAAAAGCAGTATTATATGGCAATGACACCAGAACAAGTTCAATCCTTGAATGATTGTTATTACCAGGAATTCATGTATAAACAGCTACTGGAGAAAAAGAAACAAGAATGGCTGCAAAGTCTACAGAAAAGCAGAAATATGGATGATGGCCACTTCCTCACATCTTTCTTATATTCTGAAAACTCATTTCTAACACCATGGAGTTGGAATCCTGATCAAGCTCCTTGTACCGAAGAAAACCGGCGTATGATGTTCCAACCTGGTTCGTTCTTTAGCTACCATGTCAGTATCATCTTTTTTTTTTTTTTTTTTTTTGGGTTTTGTTTTTTTTTTAACTTTGTAGATTGCAGTGTATGCTAGAGTGAGATCACAAAATTGTTTAATGATTCTTGTACTCTAATTTTTTTTATTTTTATCGTGTTATAGATGCCATCTGCGAGGATTAAAGAGGAAGAATGTTCCAGGCAGGAGGAAGATTAATATTCAAGGCAGTCTCAGAGTTCCAAACAACGCTAGATTTAAGGTTAATGGCATGGCTTAGACCTTGCCATTTGCCAAAACCATTTGATTAACCCTAATTATTTTAAAGTAGTTTAATTTAATCATTATAGAGTTATACTGTTTAGGAAAAATAGAACAGTGAAGATCTTTTAATTTTCTGATCTTTGATTAGAGTCTTCATGATTTCTATCTTTCAATTTTTTATACTTCAATCAGAGTCTTCATGATTTCTCTTGAATGACTTTATCAGAATTCAGAAGCTCTCCAGGTGCATTTTTCTTCTCTTTTTGGTCTTTATTATCTGCAAACGTGAGCATTATGGTACTGTTTTTCTGTTCTGATGGGTGAAAAAAAATCCTGCCGTGTTTTTGGTCTGGCAGGTTTCTTAATCAAGATGTGCTGGGGTTCGAATAAGCTGTCCTTGATTTCAAAATTGGAATACATGGAAAAACGATGGTTAAAAACCCACCATTTTATGAACTCTTGGAGAATCCATGTGTAGATCTTTTGCACCTTAGAAAAGAAAGCCATCTATGCACCCAGTCTTTTTTTCTCTTGTAGCTAGCCAGCTAGTAAATCACAGCATTGAAAACTCTCAAGTCCTGCCCATTACGGATATCTCTTTGAGTAATAATCTGACGATAAAAGGCAGACTAAATAATAGCTAATTATAACAAATATTCTATCACTCATTCCCAACTAAAGGAAAAACGGTAACAGAATGATTTTGCCAAATGGTCTAATCCTGTGGCTATCTTTGATGAACAAAAACAGCAGCAGCAAGCATCACACCAATTACTAGCTAATCATCCCATGTTGGCAGCACAATATTTCGTACTACATGTGTATGGCCAAGAACAACAAAAGCAGTATTATATGGCAATGACACCAGAACAAGTTCAAGCCTTGAATGATTGTTATTACCAGGAATTCATGTATAAACAGCTACTGGAGCAGAAGAAACAAGAATGCCTGCAAAGTCCACAGAAAAGCAGAAATATGGATGATGGCCAATTCTTCACATCTTTCTTATATTCTGAAAACTCATTTCTAACACCATGGAGTTGGAATCCTGATCAACCTCCTCGTACCGAAGAAAACCGGCGTATGATGTTCCAACCTGGTTCGTTCTTTAGCTACCAAGTCAGTATCATCTTTTTCCTTTTTTGTTTTGTTTTGTTTTAAGTTTGTAGATTGCAGTGCATGCTAAAGTGAGAACACAAAGTTGTTTAATGATTCTTGTACTCTAATTTTGTTTTGTTTTTATCGTGTTATAGATGCCATCTGCGAGGATTAAAGAGGAAGAATGTTCCAGGCAGGAGGAAGATTAATATTCAAGGCAGTCTTAGTGTTCCAAACAACGCTAGATTTAAGGTTAATGGCATGGCTTAGAGCTTGCCATTTGCCAAAACCATCTGATAAAATTATTTTAAGGTAGTTTAATTTAATCATTACAGAGTTATATACTATTTCGGAAAAAATAGAACAGTGAAGATCTTTTAATTTTTTTATTCTTTGATAAGAGTCTTCATGATTTCTATCTTTCAATTTTTTTTCTTCAATCAGATCGTCTTCATGATTTCTATTGAATGACTTTATCAGAATTCAAAAGCTATCCAGCTGCTTTAATTTTTCTTCTCTTTTTGGTCTTTATTATCTGGAAACGTGAGTTTTATGGCACTATTTTTCTGTTCTGATGGGTAAAGAAAAATCCTGCCGTTTTTTTTGGTCTGGCATGTTTCTTAATCAAGATGTGCTGGGGTTTGAATAAACTTTGCTTGATTTCAAAATTGGAATACATTGAAAAATGATGGTTGAAAACCCACCATTTTATGAAGTCTTGGCGAATCCATGACCTTTTGCACCTTAGAAAAGAAAGCCATCTACGCACCCAGTTTTTTTTTTTTTTTTTTTGCAGCTAGCCAGCTAGTAAATCACACAGTCAGCATTGAAAACTCTTAAGTCCTGCCCTTTACGGATATCTCTTTGAGTAATAATCTGAAGATTAAAGGCAGCCTAAATAATAGCTAATTATAACAAATATTCTATCACTCATTCCCAACTAAAGGAAAGACAGTAACAGAATGATTTTGCCTAATGGTCTGAGCTCCATCTATGACATAGAGATCTAATGAGTAGTCAGCAATGTAACAATTCGAATTATTATGCATTTCACAAGCTCTATATTCCACAACGCGTTCCAGGGGGTTCTGAGGAAGATTTACAACTCAAAGTTCTTCAAATTGAAAAAAACAAGCATTTAACTAAAGGAATACCTACTCAACAATTATTACATCATAAGATGAGTTTTATGACAAGTGCCCAACTACATCAAAGGGAGTGCACATTCATTCACTGCATTTCACGGCAATTCCTGCGCAAAAAGAAAACATAAAAGTCAGTCATGTCTCAGGTTGTAATTTCTAATTCTCGCACATGAAGAGTGCCTAAAGTCTAAACCATCGATCCATCAGCCATGCAGAAATCACACTTCAACAAATCTATTGTTGAATAAAGTTTGTGCATCAATCTCAATATGGTCTTGCTTTCGTGCTACGATCAAGTAACTCGAGGACACTAGGAAGAGCCCTTGATATACTATGTAAGGAGGACATGAGCAATTTGAAAAAGTTGAATCCTAGATTTAGAGTTTCACAACTGATTTACAGTAAAAGCAGGGAAAAGTAACAGAGTTTTTGGCACCCCAGTTCCAGTTTGTGAAAATAGATAAAACTGAGCAACAGGAACTTGTTCAAAACCAAAAGTCTATGCATTATCTCCTGAACGGGAAAATAATACACCTGTCTACAGAAGAAAGCTTATGAAGTTTATGCAAAGCACCCAACGCAATATTAAACTCAAAATTTAGACAATCCACATAACTAAAGCTGGACCTAACCACCCTAATTATGAGGGCGGTCAAACTGGGAGGCATTACCTTCAAACTAGAAAAACCTTATACCAGCCATCCCTAAGGTACGACCTCAAGTTGCAACAGAAAGCACGAAAAAACCATTGTTACCTGCCTCCAGCAATGGAGTGATGAGGTTATACATATAGCTCATAGGCCCTGTCCCCAAATCAATTAGGAAACAAGGCATCCAAACAGAAAACCAGATCTCGCAGCATCATAGAAAGATTACACCTACATGGAAGCAATGCTTTTGGATATTATAAGAGACAGCCAAGGCCATCTAAGAATTGCGAATAAAGACAGTGAATAATGGGATCAAGGCAGGGACATTTTGACTACAAATATTCATATAAAAAACTCATCGACTTCACTCCAATTTAGCTTCATATTTTACTAATATAACAAAAGAACCCCTTATCGGAAGCCTAAATTTCTCAATGCGATCCTAACTAAGAATTTAAGACAACCTAGATCGATAAAGGCGGAGTTTAACAATCCTACCTCTATGGGAGGACAAATATCACACATCAGCCAAAAAAAAAAAAAAACTCAAAATGGCAAAACCATACCACCACCAGTAACGAGTATCAAGCTCTGAGACCTAACCATAACCTCACATCTGTTAAAAACTAAACTATCGAAAATTCAAATGAAGCGTCTCATCCCTCAAAATAACTAGCCTCAAAATACATGGAACCTTGTTAATAACACAATTGCAAGAGACATGACCATCAAGAAATTGCCAGATAAAAAAGTTATTAATGGGATTAAGATAGTCATGATTCGTACAACTACTTGGTATACAAATGACTGATCGACTTAGTTATCCCCCTCCAATGCAACCTCATATTTCTACTACAACAACAAACAGGACACTTATTACCCTTAAAAGTTCGACAAAACATCTGGGCCTCGAAGAGACCAGTATTTTTGTTCGATTATTACAAGCCGGAATGCAGATCTCCAATTTTTTTCAATTACCAGATTAGATATACATGGGTAAAATGAATAGCAAACAAGACCAAAAACCCTGATCGTAAAAAGAAAATAAGAATAAAAAGAAAAAGGGGAGAGATACGAACCGATAAAAAGGAAGATCGGGGTATCTAAAACATCAATTATTTGGGGGATTTGTCCTTGTCGTTCTTGGAAGAGGAGGAAGCGTAATCAGGTGGAGAATAATAGAGGGCGGCAGCCATGGCTCCTGGTAAAACAGCGTACTTAGCTAAAACTGCTAGCTTCGTCAACAACGGCTCTCCCCTCATAAACACCATTTTCTTTCTTCTTTTCACTCTCTCTGATTCTCCGATCACTGCGTCTGCTTGCTGATGCTGTGTGCTTACCACGAGACGCCCACCTCCCGCTGGATCTTATTGTATCGCCGCCTGCCTTTGGGTTGGGCGTGGTCCATTCTGTTGCGTTTCGTTATTCTCTGGACCATGTAATTATAACGGAAATGTGATTTTTTTGCTGAATACCCACAGTCGGTTGGGTTGGGCTTGGTCCGTTCTTTTGTGTTTTGTTATTCTCTGACCCAAATGATTTAACGGAAATGTGACTTTTTTGCTGAATATCCAAAAAATCCTTTGGGCTGGTCTTCGTCCATTTTTTTGCGTTTTATTATTCTCTGGCCCAAAAGATTATATAACGGAAATGTGGTTTTTTTGCTGATTACCCACGATACCGATCCGTTGGGTTGGGCTTGATCCATACTTTTACGTTCTGTTATTCTCTGGCCGAAAAGATTGTAACGGAAATGTGATCTTTTTGTTGAATACCCACAATCGGTTGGGTTGGGCTTGGTCTATTCTTTTGCGTTTTGTTATTCTCTGGCCCAAACGATTATAACGAAATGTGACTTTTTCGCCGAATACCCACAATCCATTGGGTTGGGCTTGGTCCATTCTTTTTGTTTTCGTTATTCCCTGCCCCAAAATATTTTAACGGAAATGTACTTTTCTGCTGAATACCCACAATCCGTTGGGTTGGGCTTGGCCCATCTTTTGAGTTTCGTTTCTCTGGCCCAAAAGATTAAAACGGAAATGTGAACTTTCGGCTGATTACCCACAGTTTTTCAATTTTTATTTTTATTTTGAATTAATGGCTAAATCCGTGCTTATATAATAAAGTAATTTTTTAATTGAATTAGTATATCAAGGTTAAACTATCGAAATTATTTTATTGGTGAAAACCTTTTATTTGTAATGACATTATGAAAATAAAAATAATCATGTATAAATTATATGATTAATTCGATGATTTGATCTCAAAATATTGTTAAAATGATAGATTGAAAACTTAATGGATATAAAAAAAATAAAATTAACTCAATAAAAAACATAAAGAAATATTAAAAACACTTTATTATATAAATATAGATTAAACAATTAATTTTTTAAGTTTTTTTTTTTTTTGGCCAAGTGGTATTTTCAATCTAATTTACTCACTTTCGAATTAAATCCATTGGATAAAAAAGAACTAACACTTATGAAAGATTTTATTCTTACAATATGACTTTTAGAGTTAAATCTTACTATTAGGATAAGAAAATACTCACTTGTTGATCAGATCAATTATCAATGTTTTTAATTTTTTTAAAAAAATCTATTTGGTTCTTATTTATTTTCAATAATTACGATGTAGAAATTGATTGGAGGTCATGAAACTTAAGCAAAGGCATTCTTACAAGCTTTTTTCAGGTGAGTGATGAATTTTGAATGGTGGATCTGCCTCCAAAATCAAGTGGAGAGAAATGAATTTTGAACCCACTTGAATCTTGTCAACAACCTTTTACGTGTCAGCAGATCAAGCCATTTAAATGCATTTATGTTTATCAACAGGATAGAATTCATAAATTATTTGCACTATTGCACCACCAAATGGCCCGAATGGTTTAAGAAGAAAACCGGCTGATTCGGAAATTATTATGATAATTAAATTTATAAAAATTATTAATAAAATCCATTTATTTAATAATATGAAATTAACTTCTATTCAATAATTGCTATTTTTTCGATAAGTGAATTTTGCATGATGAATAACATTATTCATAAAATTTGCATAGATAATTATTCTTTTGCATTTATATTTTGAATGAGAAATTTACAAATTCAAAAACAAATATCAATTATTGTTATTTTTTTGATAAGTGAATTTTGCATGACGAATAACATTATTCATAAAGTTTGCATAGATAATTCTTCTTTTATATTTATATTTTGAATGGGAAATTTACAAATCAAAAACAAATTTCAATTCACATTCTATAAATCAAATGAAGAAATATACACTCATATTTCCTATCTTAAACATGAATGCAGGCACCAAAAATTACTCCAAAAGCAACAAAAAAACATAATTAATGGCAATCAAGAGGAGTTCAAAGCAATAATATTGTAGCAAAAACTTCGATTCATGGAATGCCAAGACGATCGGCTCCATCAATGATGGCTGCTTTGCCTCGAGAGAGGCCATTCCCAGAAAGTGTGGGAGCATCAGTGCCACCTCCACCTTGATCAGGCTTTACTTCTTGGTGTCCTTCAGTGCCATAGGCTTTGAGCTTGTAGTCCTCCAAATCTTTGTACTTCAAGTAGGGACTGCTCTCCACTGGTAACCCTTCAAGTCTTCCTTTCTTCTCTTCACAACTACTCTCTTTCCGATTTTCCATTTGCAGCTGGCAGCTGTTCTCCATCTCTAATTTCTTACAGCTAGCAATTAGTCTTGTCTGAAATGTGTCTCGAGGTTAATTACTTATGCAAAATTTCAGTTCGAAAACAAACCCCCGCATTAATCGAGCCATTTGACTTGTTCAGCTTGTTTGTCTCACCATTTATCCAGAGGCTTCTCTCCTACATTCAAGCAGCATCATCATGTTTTTTCATGGCTGAAAATCCTTTGAAAAAAATTATAGTAGCAAATGTTTCAAGATAAGCTTTACGAAAAAACTGCAATTTCAATGTTTAATCTTCAATTTTTTTTTCTATCTCAATGTTCATTGGATAAATTCTTTTATTTTAATTTCTATTTTTTTATTTTTTATGTTTGAGTATCCATAGTCATTTGAGAGTATCAAATACTAATGTGTCTGAATCACATATCAGTTAAAATATCAATTAAAAATATCATTTGATATTTAATCAAATCACGTTAGTATTTTATATTTTTAAATAATTATGTACATTTGAATAAAAAAAATTTAAATATTATATATAAAAGAATTTATCAATTAGATCCTAAAACATAAAAAAGTTTAAAAATTAAACATCAATATTATAGTTCTCTCTAAGTTTCAATGATTAGTGAGGTTTGGACGGCATAGAGTTGATGAAGGGGACTAGCTAGGGCAGTGAGCATGCAAGCATGAGTAAGCCGCATGGACTTGCCAGTCCCAAACTCTAATGGGTCCAGCCAGCCAACTGCACAGCAACCTGGGCCACATTTTAAGGTTCAACCAGATTTTCTCATTCTAGAATGGCTAATTTCCCTCAAAAAGACTAAGTTACGGTGACTAGCAGAACAAGTGAACGACCTGCAATCAATTCAGCAACTGTGAGGGAAAGCAAAGAAACTTGACCATACAACTACCAAAACACAATAATTTTTTTGGGACAAAATTGCCTCAAATCCTGTCTTTTTTATCAAAAAGGACAGAAAACGAACGTTCTTCTCTTATCTAAACCAGCCACAGAAATTTCTGGTATTGGAAGGTCCAGCCATTGCCACATATAATTATCATGTATGGATGTTGTTTCTCCACCTCAAAATTCTTTCGAACATGTGACTTCCTTATCTTCTTCTTCTTCTTCTACATTTTGTTTATGTGCAAGTAATCTCAGTATCACAAACCACCTGCTTCATCGGTTTCTTCTGTCAGCTTTCTTCTTCTTTGAGTAATGGCAACAGATAGAAGGAGTTCAAGTACTCAACTGTTGGAAGAACTGGAAGAACTTAGCCAATCTCTTTACCAAACTCACACTTCTACCGTCCGAAGAACTGCTTCCCTCGCACTTCCTCGAACTTCAGTTCCTGCTATAACATCAGTTGATGAGGTTACGACAGCCAAAATTGATGAAAAATCAAGCAGTAGGCTTCGGTCCAGGCGCATGTCCTTGTCGCCTTGGCGTTCTAGGCCAAAGCCTGATAAAGAATCCGAGCGCAAAACAACCATCATCAATCAACCAGAAACCAAGAAGCTGGATGATAGAGCTTCTTCAACACTGAAAAAAGGGCTTTGGAATTGGAAGCCTATCCGAGCTCTTTCTCATATTGGGATGCAGAAATTGAGCTGTTTGTTTTCTGTTGAAGTAGTTGCTGTGCAAGGTCTTCCAGCTTCCATGAATGGACTCCGGCTTTCTGTTTGTGTCAGGAAGAAGGAAATGAAAGATGGTGGAGTAAATACAATGCCATCAAGAGTTTCTCAGGGAGCTGCTGACTTTGAAGAGACCTTGTTTATCAAGTGTCATGTGTACTGCACTCCTGGAAATGGGAAGCAGCTTAAATTTGAGCCGCGCCCGTTTTCGATTTATGTGTTTGCAGTTGATGCTGAAGAGCTTGATTTTGGGAGAAGTGTAGTGGATTTAAGCCAACTTATTCAGGAATCCATGGAGAAGAGCCACGAAGGTACACGAGTGCGGCAGTGGGACACAAGTTTCAATCTATCTGGGAAGGCAAAAGGAGGAGAGCTCGTTCTCAAATTGGGATTTCAGATTATGGAGAAAGAAGGAGGGATTGATATTTATAGTCAACCTGAAAGATCGAAGTCTACTAAATCCAAAAATTTCTCATCTTCTTTAGGACGCAAGCAGTCTAAATCATCATTCAGTGTCCCAAGTCCAAGGATGACTGGACGATCCGAAGCTTGGACTCCTTCACAGACAAAACCAGCTGCAGATATGCAAGGAATAGATGACTTTAATCTTGATGAGCCAGCTCCAGTTCCCTCATCATCCTCCCCAATTCAGAAATCAGAAGAACCAGAACAAAAGACAGAGGATCTTGATCTTCCAGATTTCGAAGTTGAGGACAAAGGGGTGGAGATTCAAGAAAAAGAAGAGAATGAGGGTGGAGAATCTGAAGAAAATGTGGAAGAAAAGTCACAATCAAGTGAAGTTGTTAAGGAAATAGTGCATGATCAAGTACACCTGACAAGACTAACCGAGCTCGATTCAATCGCTCAGCAGATAAAAGCCCTTGAGTCAATGATGGCAGAAGAAAAAACCGTTAAGACAGAGGATGAAACTGAAACACAAAAATTAGATGCAGACGAAGAAACAGTAACGAAGGAATTTCTCCAGATGCTCGAAGAAGAAGAAACTGATGCATTCAAATTCAATCAACGTGAAGTCCCCCCTATGCCTCTCGGTGGAGGTGATGATTCTACGGAGGCTGAACCCTCGGTATATCTCTCAGACCTTGGGAAGGGTTTAGGCTGTGTAGTTCAAACAAGAGATGGAGGCTACTTAGCAGCTACGAATCCTCTAGACACCATTGTTTCGAGGAAAGATACTCCAAAACTAGCAATGCAGTTGACGAAACCACTCATTCTTCAATCAGACAAATCAATAAACGGGTTTGAGTTGTTTCAGAGAATAGCATCCATTGGTTTTGAGGAACTTTGTTCTCAAATCTTATCGTTGATGCCCCTCGATGAACTGTTAGGGAAAACTGCAGAACAGATAGCCTTTGAAGGCATAGCTTCTGCAATCATCGAAGGGAGAAACAAAGAAGGCGCTAGTTCAAGTGCTGCTCGTACCATTGCTGCCGTTAAAACAATGGCGACCGCGATGAGTACAGGGAGGAAAGAGAGGATATCAACAGGAATTTGGAATACAAATGAAAAACCTTTGACAGCTGAGGAAATTTTGGCATTCTCATTGCAGAAGGTTGAGGCAATGGCAATTGAAGCCTTGAAAATTCAGGCAGAAATGGCAGAGGAAGATGCTCCTTTTGATGTTTCTCCGCTCACTGGAAAGGCAAGCACAGACATTGGGAAAGATCAAAACCACCCCCTGGCCTCTACCATTCCACTAGAAGATTGGACAAAACAGTACAGCTTAGCTAATTCTCCAGGGGACCAAGCACCAATCACCATAGCTGTGGTTGTCCAGCTACGGGATCCTATAAGGCGATACGAGGCTGTTGGAGGTCCTGTGGTTGCACTTGTTCATGCAACACAAGCTGAAATCGAAGAGTACAATTACGAAGAAGAAAAGAAATTCAAAGTAACAAGTTTGCACATTGGAGGCATGAAGGGAAAGTCAGGAAAAAAGAGGAATTTGTGGGATTCGGAGAGGCAAAGACTAACTGCAATGCAGTGGCTGATTGCTTATGGACTTGGAAAGGCAGGGAAAAAGGGAAAACATGTTTCATCAAAAGGGCAAGATTTGTTGTGGAGCATTTCGTCAAGAATCATGGCTGATATGTGGCTCAAACCTATGAGGAATCCTGATGTGAAGTTTACAAAGTAGGAACAGAAAATGCCCATGTCTTGAGTGGATTGGTTCTTGTAATTCCCTTTAAAATCACAATTATTGGAGCTCAAATATGAAGTAGATTGAATAAAATTTTGATTTGATGCAGTTGTAATTCAGTACCTTTCCTGCAGCCTCTTCCTAATGAAAAAATAGAAAAATGAAACACAAAAGTTTCTGAACTAATCATACACACCATTTAAATGGAATCGGAACAAATCACAATTTCTGTATTGATCATAGTCTGTAAGCCTTGTGTAATGGGGCTTAGGGCCTTTTGCTATAGTTTTCTGAGGTACTTTGGCCATCAAATTAACCATACTATAAGAAACCAACCATCACAGAAAGTAGGTTTTTCAAGACTTTCTGATCCTACTGGTAGGTAGAAGTTTCCACGTTTTCTCTCTCCCTTATCTTTTCTTTCTCCCTCTGTTTTCTTTTAGCCTAAGACTCACAGTTACAATAATTTCCACGTTGCATATAAACAAAATCTATACTATTTTTTTTCGATAATTTCGAAAACTGATCGTCTTTGACTATTTTTTGTAGATACAAATTGATTTTAGAATAAGAGGTTTCAAGCCTTTTATGTTCTAAAATAGGCAAAACGTATACCGACCCTTTCTCCCATCTTGAAGGAACAAACCTCTCCCTTAGCAGAAATCAATGAAGATCTGCTGTACTTCAGGAAATGTTTCAAAAGATGCAAATCATCACATGCATACATAATAAGATTCTAGAAAAAACACTGAAAAGCAGGTGAGGGGTCTTCCACGTCTTTTGAAAAACTCATTAAAAATATAATTACCATTTAGTAAGAGCATTGTCTCATATTGCTACGAGTGTGGGATAAAAAAGTCTTAGTGGTTATCTTTAAGATAAAAACATTTAAAATATAACATTTATCATATAAATTCAACTAATTAATTGTGTAACATTTGAGATTAGAGAAGGATTAGTAGTCTAAGACTTCATAATAATTATGTCTGATTGCTTGCTATTTGGTTTATACAGTTTATCAGTTCAGGGATTTAAATGAACTATTCCCCTTCTCAATCCAAGAAGGAAAATGACGCTGAGAACAAGAAAGCGAAAAAGTGAGTCGAACCTGGGAGCAGAAGGTCTTAGCGGATATTGAGTGATGAAGGATAGTGTGGTCCAAGAGTATACGATTGAATCCTACTTTCCACCTCTTGTTGTGGCAATCATAAATTTATGCTTGCTTCTCCGGTTCCAAGAGTATGGAGAACTTGGAATTTTTATTTTAAAATCAAACTAGACCTATTGAAAGTGATTGAAGGACGATCAATTTATTTTTAAATTAAAAAAATAAAAAAATTATAAATATAAACAATAAATA